ACCACGGACTTGAGCCTGTGAACTAATGAAAAAAGATGAACTTTTCCTCATTTTTAGTGTATTGTCTCAGGTATCTTGTTACTGCAACAGAAAACCCTCTAACATAAAACTTGTGATTGTTAGGCTTCTTTTCTTCTTTCTCCTCCTCCTTTGTTTTGGTTTTTGTTCTTTGTGACAAGGTTTTGCTATATAAGCCAGGATGGTCTGTGACTTGCTGTGTAGTTCAGGCTGGTATTGATTTCATGGTCTTCTGGCCTCAGGCTAACTATTGGGAAACGAAACTAGTCCTGATTGGAAAAGATGCTCTGATGGAGATGCCTATCATTGTACTCTAAGGAGTACAAAGCCAAGCAAAGCGCCTCCTAGGAGAAGAGCATGTGCCACTTACAGGCCAAACACATGCCACTCACAGCCATTTGCAGAAACAAAGTGGGGATTAGCTACTAAGCACACACAAAAGATGAGTGTTCGTTTGCCTGCAGCAGAAGACTGCTCTAGGGAGAGGTGACATTTGATCTCAGAGGGTGGACAGGAGTTTACCTGACTAACAGGCAGTAAAGGTTATTCTGGAGCATGCATAGTGGCCCAGGTGCCAGGATGGTAATTGAATTTGAGGCTGTTTGCTTTGGAAAACAGAATTAGGGCATTTGGGAAGGACAGCCGACACCGTTATCGTCTGTTGCAGCAATAGGTTCCTTGGTCTAAGCAGATGTGCAGCAGGAGATGAAGTCAGGTCGCCCACTTTACAACCGGGGAAACTGATGCTCAAAGGAGTTACACGATGTGGCCAATTTTGATCTTTCTCTTTCAAAATGGTGTTGGATAGTTAAAAACACGACCCACATGCGTTGTTGGTTGAGCCTGAACATTTACTTCTTACATCAAGGGGCTTTGTGATCTGGCTTCTCTCTTCTCTTCTTTGTCTGTGTGCCTCCATCTCTTGTTCACTCTCTCACTCTCTTCCTTTGGCAGGTCTTGACATGCTACCATAGGTGGCTATAAACCCATTCGTGCACTCCAATGCTCTTGCTGCCTTACCCCCTCAGACAGCCGAGAACGCAGATGTATGCTATATCGCCTGACTGGAGAACCGATTTGTTGATGATAAAAGCATTCTTTTCGTGAGGCAATGACACTGTTTTGCTTTAGAAAACTTCATTGAGATATGATTAATATCCCATACAATTCATCCATTTAAGGTCCACAATCCAGTGACTTTTAAATATACTTAAAGAGCTACATGTCTCTTACTAAATCAATTTTCTGATATTTTCATTTTCTCAGAAGAAATTTTATACCTTCCCCCCCTAAACACCTCTTTTCCAGCTTTGGACAGCCACTAATCTTCTTTATGTCTCTAAAGAGCTGTGTTTTCTGGACATTTGCATAAATGGAGTCATACAATACAGTCATGCAGTCCTTCGTGACTGATTTTTCACTTAGCACAACACTTTGCAGGATCATCTATGATGCAGCACCTCTCAGCGCTTTGTTTTGTTCATTGTGTTTCATTCATATGTTCATTTTTCAATTGGCATTTCAGATATCTCTACCCTGTGGAGAGTATTAAATAATGGTGCCATTTTAATGCGTATGAACAGATTTCTGCAAATCTGATTTTAAAAGTATTTGTGTCCAAAGAGGTTGGTTGCAAGCACATCTGTTTTTTCCTGTAGTGCAGATCGAAATACCACAACCAAAAACATTGTTTGTGCTAGGTATGGGAGCCTCTGTGTACGGCTTGTGTTCTAGATGTGTGAAATGTGGTAGGGGACTCAGTTACAGTACATAGGTTGAAACATCCTGTAGTTTCTGAATGCCATCCAGTTTTGTATGAAGAGTGCTTGGTAGCCTTATCTATCAAGATGAAGTTTTTCTGATGTCTTTTTTTTTCCTGTTGGATTTAATATTCTGAGAAAGTATAGATGGAAAAATGTCTTCAAAATACAAAGCAAAGGAACTTTAAAGAGGTCTTGAGAAAGCTCTTCCTAAGTGAAAGGAGGATAGAAAACTTTTGGATTTACTCTTCCAGGACGTTGCAATGCAAAGACCATTAAATGGTGCGTAATGCACTATCTGTCTTTTGCCAGACAGAGAAGTTTCCTGATTGCACTCTTGAGATATTATAAAACATTTCTAAGGCTGCTGCTAAGCTAGAGAATTGTAAATTGGTAGGTTTTCAAATAAGTTTCTGCAGACCTCAGTCTGGTCTAAAGTTTCCTGTTTTTACAATTAACTCCTCATGTTTCCTTTTGTGAGTATGTGTGTGTGTGTGTGTGTGTGTCTGTGTGTGTGTAACCTAAAGATAGACCAGGAAGCATCTGGGCCATGTGGTTCCAGAGGGGAATCTCTATTTCTGTGAGGATGGGTGGAACACTAAAGGTAAATTAGATAAACAATGCTAAATTAATGTAGTGCTCCTGTTCTTACCCTTCAGTCAACATTGTCCAGAACATCTTTTGCTTGATGTACTTGGTGTTAGTTCTTCATGGGTTTTCACTTCTAAGTGAAGCTGGTCTGTTGGTCTTAGAACAATCTCGTATAGGTACGGATACTTTCAGGTTTCTGGGAGATTACAAAGAAAAGTAAAAATGTCAGCTTTTAGTGCTCCCAAAAGCCATGCTTCCATCTTGGTGTCAGCTCTCCTTCAATACCTCACTTGCCAAATAAAGAACTGTGATTAAGAAGGAGTCAGCAAGAACAAAAGGAAAAGATTGTTTGCAACCAGGATGACTCAGGATTTGCGTATGGGCAAGGAAAGAGCAAGGCTGTGCTCTGTACCACATGAATGCGTTCTACTTTGAATTAAGATGATTTTAAAAAGAGTATTTGTTTTCAGACATTCCAAAAGCAAGACACTTTTTTCTGTAACTGAACTCAAGATGAAGCTGTAATATTTCAAGTTTTTTTTTTTCCAATATGTAAAGATACACTTAGGGAATAATGATGACAACACTACCAATCACAGTAACAGAACATTTGCTATAAACTGCCATTTCAGTGAACCTCATTGTTTTTCTTGTTTTACATATGAAGAGAGTGAAACAAAAGGAAGGCTTCAGAGGTGGAGCCTCGCTTTCAGAGACAGGCTCCAAGGGATGGTGGTGTTTAATTCAGGGTACAGTACAACATTTTACTGTTAAATTATGAGAGCAGAAGAGACAGCACAGCAGTTAAGAGTACTGGCTGCTTCTACAGAGGACCCGGGTTTGATTCCCAGTCCCCACCTACTGGATCATGGTCACCTATAACTCCTGTTCCAGGGGATCTAGTGCCCTCTTCTGACCTCCACAGGGACCAAGCACAAATGTGGAGAACAGAAAGACATGCAGGGCAAAAAAATTCATACACTAAAGGAAAAGTAAAGGATGTAATAAAGTACACATCACCAAAAGAATGAAGAGTCGGAGTAAGTGTAAACACCACGCAAACATAAACGCACCGTAAAATCACAGCACGGTAGTTTTTGAGGAAAGGTCTTTTACATGCCATTTTTCCTGGGTGTGATTTGGATATGGACAAGAATAACATTTAATTTGCTAGCGAACTGTTATATTTTGACGGGTTCATTAGTGCATAGCATAAATGATGTTTGAGAAATGTTTGTCACAGAACATGGATGATTTCTAAATATTTTTCCTTGTGGCTGAGTCACAGTAGCTCAGAAGAGGGAATGACATGTTGGAAGGGACAACTCTTTTAAAAAAATATTTGTTTATTAAATTTATTCACTTTGTATCCCAGCTATAGCCCCCTCCCTCGTCGCCTCCCAATTCCCCCCCCCCCCATCCCCCCCTCTAGTCCAGTGATAGGGGAGGTCCTCCTCCCCTTCTATTTCACCCCAGCCTATCAGGTCTCAACAGGACTGGCTGCATTGTCTTCCCCCTTGGCCTGGCAAGGCTGCACTCCCGAGGGGAAGGTGATCCTCAGTTCATGTCAGAGAAAGTCCCTGCTCCCCTTACCAGGGAACCCTCTTGGAGACTCAGCTGCCATGGGCTCTATCTGAGCAGGGGTTTTAGGACCTCTCCATGCATGCTCCTTGGTTGGAGCATCGGTCTCTGCAGGACCCTCTGGGCCCAGATTTTTTTGGTTCTGCTGGTCTCCTTGTGGAGCTCCTGTCCCCTACAGGTCTTTTCTACATAAGACTGGAAGGGACAACTCTTAAAAAATATTTCTGCTTTAGAGGTCCGATTTTTATTTTTTAAGGAAAAGAACGGAAAACAAAAACAACCCTCTCTTCCGTCCTCCCAAGATGTGCCTTTGCTTTTCGCGGTAGTTTTCCTATTTCTTTTAGGGGGCAGGGAGCATGCTTAGCAGAGCAAACCAAAGTGTCCGAAAGAGGATGTCTGCATCCCTCGTGTTTAAAAGAGATGGGTTTGGTTCCCTTTCCTTCACACATCAAAAGAAGGAGGGAGGAAATAAACCATAATTAGGCTTGAGCGAGCAAGCAGACAGACCCCCCCCCCCTCCTCCTCAGCCGTGCCCGTCCCCGCCCCTCGCACTGGCAACCGTCCGGGGCGCGGGCGCGGCGC